GCACTTACTTTAAGGACTCCTCGTGGTCTCCCAAGTTATAATAGAGCTTGCTCAGCTTAAGGAAAGCAGCCCTGTTGTCGTTACGCAGCTTAGCCGTGGGTTTGAGGTCCATGATGGCTTTGTTGTAATCGCCAAGGTGAAGGTAGCACTCGGAGCGCAGCTCTTTCGCTTCTGGATTCCACGGGGAAATCTGAAGCAAAGTTCAGGAGGCATGGTTGGTATGTGACAACTTGGGTCAGCAGCTCGTTATTCCTTTAAAATGAGGTCTTGTAGCACTTAAAAAAACCAGCAAAGCTTTTTTCCCCCACACGCTTTTCTGGAGTGTGGTCCCACGCTTTTAGATGCAAGAGCTTCATCAACCTATGAGGAGGTGGATGGCCATCGTTCAAGGAAACACATGCCAAATAAAAACGGATTGTCTTTAAAACGGCACAACCTTCTTCGGTTACAGTCTTGTTGCTTGCGACCACGCGCAGAAGGGAAACTGTGGCTAGCTGCTGTGGCTAATTGATGAGGTGAAGACCACATGGGCCAACATGCAACCAGCACTTCATCAATTAGCCACGTCCACAATTTCCCTTCTGCACATAGTTAAAAGTCAGAGGATTTCAGCTTCTGTTGTTTTTGATGCAACAGACTAGCACAGCTCTCTCAATTTTTCAGGGGAAAAATGTGTTGTTTAAGAACAGCCCTCCGGCTGCTACTCTGTGTGGCCTTTTCCTTTTTTTTTGTTGGCCTCAGAGTTTTTAACCTAGTTCCTCGCACTTGAGGAACACATTAATTCAGTCCACAGAAACGTTAAGAAGGGGAATAAGACATGGAGCACCCATGGGAAAGAAAGGAATGCTTTCCAACCCTGCCTCCCCCAGCAATGAATCTGTTCTTGCTGAAATGAGACAGCAGAGTCAAATCCCCTTGTATATTTTGGGAGCGTGGCAGCTCAGACAGGATGAATGAAGGACGAAGTACCTCAATTGCTCGATTTAGAATATAAATTGCTCCTTGGTAGTTCTTCCACTGAAAGGCAGTCTGAGCTTCTTGCATGGACAGTTCTAGCTCTGTGACCCGGGCAAGCTGGCTTCGGGCCTCCGTGTTCTCCGGGTTGCTCTTCAGCTGATCAAATAATGAAAAGTCAACAAAAACACACTTAGCGTTAAGGAAGTGCATTGCGTTCCAGAGACTCGCTGAACTCAAGCAAATCTGGAAAGGCCCACCTAGGCAGGGAGGAGACAAAAGATCCTGGCCCACGTATGGAATAAAATAGGATGAGATCATTCCCAGAAGTGTCCAGAGTGGGGAGAAATTCAAACCCCCCAAATCTTGCACACACACATTACAGAAGAAACTTTCAGATGGTATGCATCCTTTCTCTCTGGGTCACTGGGATAAGTCTTTGTATACCAGAGCAAAACTGGTACACTTCTCCCTTGAACTCCAGAAGTCTGAACAGCACCGTTTTGGGTATACAGGGATTTCTTTCAAGGCATAAACAAA